ACTACAGACGAACGAGAGGGAGAGCTAGAGAAGTAAGTTATGATGTGGGAGAAAAGGTGTTCCTAAAAGTATCACCATGGAAGGGATTAATGAGGTTTGGAAAGAAGGGGAAGTTGGCACCTCGCTACATCGGCCCTTATGACATTATTGCCAAAATTGGGCCGGTAGCTTACAAACTGGATTTACCTACTGAGTTGGAGAAGATTCACAATGTTTTTCACGTGAGTATGTTGAAGAAGTATTATGTGGATCCCTCTCATGTCATACAACAAGAAGATGTGATCCTGGAACCTGATTTGACTTACGAAGAGAGGCCAGTGAGTATCGTGGACCAACAGATACGAGTTCTAAGGAACAAGCGCATCCCGATGCTTAAGGTCATTTGGAGAAATCACGAAGGTGAAGCAGCAACTTGGGAGACTGAAGAAAGTATGATGAAGAAATACCCTGAGTTAGTCGAAGTATACTCTACAAATATGCCTCCCAACTAATGCTCGTTGTATTAAATCGGCAATGTCGATAATGTATCGAATTTCTGAATAAAAAGTCAGAAGAGACTTTTATTATACTATTTGATTTCGAGGACGAAATCCAATGAAGGAGGGGAGAGTTGTAACATCCCGTATCTGGGTGGAATCTACACCAAACCGGTTCGATGCATCAACAAAGAATGAATTCGACAAGGTCGAGAGAATCATTCGTCCTCCTCAATTAATGTCGTAAAAAATATAGAAAATAAATATAGCACGAAGGGAGTATGGTAGAGGGTGAAAATACGAACACGTCTCAAACATGAAAAGAGTATAAAAAAAATAAAGTCATGGCCAAGATTCGACCTAGTGACCTAAAGTCATTAAACCATCACTGCCACCAGTTAGACTAACAGGTGTTCATGTCAACGTAATTCCTCTTAAATTTAATTGAAGCTCATCTAACGGGATTTATATTAAAGAAAAGTGACCAAGCCCGGAGCTCCATGTCGTGGCTCTCCATTCCATTGCAATAAGTGGCCAGCATAGTTTATATAATTTTATGCTCCTCAACTCATGGAAATGAAGCAACCACGTCACTCATGTATTATTTCTGTACAAAGAATTCCAATTGATTAATCGATGCATGAGCTGGGCGACGTTAATATCCAACAACCATATTGTCGACCAACTGAGAAGGACGCCACCGAAATGCTATATATAGTGAGAACCGAAGCTCAACACAAGGAAGAAAATAGGGAGAGAGAGATCAGTAGGAGTGTTGAGCGTTCTGGAGTTGGAGAGATCGACTTAAGGGTCTGGGGAGGTTCCTCACGAAGCTAGAAACGTCGTTGAGCCTTGTCGGAGCCTCGCCGGAGTTTCGTCGGTATCCCGTGACGGCGACGACGTCAACTCCGACCTCAACCATTCTGTGATTGGTGGGTACCGTTACGAAGAGGGCGATCCCAGGAGCACGCACGTTTCGACGGAATCAATTTTCGACGTCGGACGAGGGAGAAACGAGCCTCGCAAGTTGGCCACGTAGAACTGTCAGTTTCTGAAAGTCAGGTACTGTTTCTGTCAATTCAAAAAATTTGAGGACCTAGGCGGACGTTTTCCATAGGAAGGGTCAACTCTCTGGTTGACCAGAAAATTATAAATTCAGTACCTGTTACTTCCAGAACTGACAGAATTCGTATTTTGGCCATAATTTGTTCGTTCGACGTCCAAACGACGAACCGTTTTCGCCTACAGGATCGTAAAGACGAGGAGAATTTTATCAAGGAGTATTGGGATTTTTACAGCAGCTGTGCAGAGTTGAATTACGTCATAAATAAGGTGTGTGGACTCTGCGGTGAATAGGCGGTGTTTTACTACGTGCTATGTGTTTAATATTAAAACATAGTTGAGGATTTAATGAAGATAAAATGAAGAATGTCGTTATTATGATTTTGATACTCGAGTAGAATTGGATGATTCATAATCGAGTATTTGGAATTTACGATTTTGTAATTGATCCCTACGAGTCGTGAAATTCCTTGAGACTACGTTGTTACTATTTCAATAATTCATGACGTGATTTCATGCCATGAGTTATGTGAAATTCTGCCTACGATATAATAATGTCCCTAATAAGACTACTTGGAATAATCATTAAACCACGAACGAATTCGTAATAATTTGAATGATGGACAGCTACCATGGGAGAATTCTGTCTAGGCTAGTGGTTTTTAATCGAGACCTTCGTGGTACTCGTCCACTTACCTGGGAATTCACTCGGTGAAATCTTTTGGGAATATGGTTGTAAGAAGTGTACTACGAGTAGTGGCACTCATTCCTCTTCTCGGAGTTTTACCACGGCAGGTCCGCCTTTCAAATTACTCGGTGATTCACCGATTAAATGGTTAACGAACCATGTACGAGGATTCAAACCGTCCACCTTATACGTTGAATGTACGATAACAATAGATGGTTGCGAATGAATTTCTACTCGATGATTGAATGGATGATTTGATGAATTTAGTATGCATGATATGTACAAATTACCTTATGGCATAAACTTGGTAATTACACCAAGATCGATTGAGATTGATGATTATTATATTGAGATTATGATGAGAATGATGATTTTATATGATGCTCATATTAATCACATAGACTTAGAAAGGGCCTGCATTTACCCCCAACCATTTGATATTGTTACTGACGATCAATAGGATCGATGAGGCCAGTGGCCAGAGAGATATGATTGTGGTTTCTGATATAACCACCGAGATTATGAGGCTCGAGCGGGGGTGGATGTATGGTGACCTTGGCGCCCAAATTAATAAAATGGAAATGCATTGCACTTGCACATTGTTTGGATATTGGATGCTAGGTTGAGAATTATATTAGGTTGAGACTTCAACCTAGATGCCATGATTAGGTGGTTAATCGATTGATGTGGAAAACGTATCTATAGACTTCGCCGTGTAGGAGGGAACAGCGCCACACACTCAGCTAAATTAGTTAGCTGACCCACTCCCCTTTTGTGTTCAGATCCGCAGCAGAGGGACTGAGCTTGGACGTTGGAGCTGTGCAACTGCTACTCCATCATGAGGTAGCGGACGATTGGTCGGAGGAGAGTTCTAACTATGTTTTGTGTTTTAAACCAAGTATCATAAACATGTATTATGTTGAATTTGATTGCATCGAACTTGATCGATTGAGTTATTATGATTTATGGATTGTACCAAAGTATGTAAGATGGAGATTTGAGTTTCAACGAACTAGTGTTTGGATTTGATGTCTAGAATTGGATGTGTATGTTTAATAAACAAGATTGGATATTAATAAATGTGTTAGATTTGATATATATATATATATATATATATGTTCACCTCGAGTTATGTTTAGTAAAAGAAAGATGTATATGTATTGAATGATGAGTTAATACGTAAACCCCGTTAGTATTTTCTACTGTGCGGGTGAACCAGTGGTTCGACCCATGATTTTTAGGGTGGGGTGTTACATATTCTATATCTCAGGATAACTAGAGTTGCAGATGAATGTAATAAATAAATCTGGGTATCCCAACCATTTGCAAATGGCCATAGCATCCTGGAAATTTTCATATTTGTATTTTGGACTACGTGTATGAGTTGCAGCCAAATCACAGGCTTCCTAGACAATTTCAGATCATTATCACCACGCAAATAAGAATTTAACAACCCTTGGTAATGATGTCCTCTCAACTTTGATTGATTGTTTCTCATCCAATCCAATAGTCCAGCCTCTATAAGAGCATAAGCATTAACAACATATTGTTGAAATAACTTTCCAGCAAGGAACAAAGAATTTGACTCAGCAAGCCTAGTCTGAAGTCGATAACAATAGTAATCACATTGAGTTACCATTCTGTCTCCTGCACCAGCCAAATCTGTAGTTGCTGAATAGAAAATATTGGGATGCCATCCGTCCTCTCCATACAGGAACAAAACAAGATATTGTAATGCCATTAGACTGGGATGATATGGACTAATTCTCTCCATTTCAATACTCCGCTGTTGAACAATAATATCCGGTGAAAAAGTTTCTTCTCCTGTCTCATCAACAATCAATGCTGCTATCTCACCTGCCGAAAGTAAATCATATTCCCTACAATTGATTTCACGTTTTGCCAATAACTTCAACTGAAGCTCCTCCACACCATCCTCAATTATTCTGTCTCTTGTAGACCGAAAATAATGAACCAAAATATTATGTGTATCCAACATTTCTTGCAAACCTTCAACAATAGAAGCACGTAATGGATTCTTCTCAGGATCAGATGAGTAGAAGCTAAATCGATTTTGTACCTCATTGTCTGAATCGTGAATATACGACTGTGCAAATTTTGGACTCATCCCTTCAGGAGGAACCAAACTTCCAATTCGATGATAAATCTGACCACCAATTGAGTAAACATAAACACCGCGGCCATCATTCATGGAGTGGTTGACTTTACCACCGATAGATATGAAACAAAACACTCCATTATATCCTCGACTATTAATACGGAAATGACGCGCTTCTGGGGTATCACCTTCAAGTAACATTTTCAGGAATTGAGGAGGATGCCTACGAATAGGGAGTTTGACCATTCCATTTCTACAACACAATAAAAATGAAGACGTGGAATAATTTCTTGTAGATAAAGTGCTCTCCAAACGCCACATGAGAGCTCCACAATGCTGACAGGTACATGATGGAGGACCAATATCAAAATATTCAACAATAGGGATACCTATAATAAATTATAAAAAGGGGATAACTATAAGCACAAAAATACTTAGATTAATATTAAGAAATTCTACCATAACAATAAAATAATAATTAGTAATAAAATTGCTACTTTCATGCTTTACCCATACCACTTGAATAACCCCTACGAATAAAAAGAATTATAATTAAATGCATCAAGTTTCACTGGGACAGGAAAAAAAATCTCCACCACAATGCGAACTAAAAATCTGAATTCCAGGTATCAAACTCATACAGATAAGGAACTATATATATACAAAATTACAATACAACTATCAACAAACTCATGCAAATACAGAGTACCCTAACCAATAGATACAACTGGACAAAATTTGGAGTATAGATAGATATATACAATACCATCACATCAATTATAAAAAGCTCCCCTCCTAAATACAACATACATAGCTTTCTTTGAAGCTGAATGTAGGTTCGTCCCAAACGTTTTCTATGCAAGTGAATGCGGCACATTAGTCTACTGCGTTTGCCCAAAAGCGTTGCAAACTCCATTTCAACACCCGTAGAACCTGGAAAATTACCACACCGAATGTAGTGAGCATATAAATAAGTACAAACTATCTTTACATATAAGCAATGATAAACACTTTTACAAATGGCTACCTTTACCTTTAACCACAGATCGCCTCCTACGTCTCTTATCTTGAAGAATAAGCTGCCTTCTTTGTCGAGTAGCTTGGTACAACTTTCTACAAATTTCCATGAATTCGTCGTGCAACCGTTTTTTTACTACACACCCACATACAAATTAAAACCATAAGCACAAATCACAGCAAGGTATCCTCACAAAGTAATTTGATATCACCATATGTACCTTTGTCATAAACTTATTGATCTTCTACGGACATGACACACCTTTGATAAGTGTCTTCTGGATGATAAAAGATGGCTCTCCCTTTCCCTACATTACAACCAGATTAGGAAAGCGCATAATAAGGCTCCCAAATTCAACTACACTAATACGGTTAAATATAAATAAACACACAAGGGGCAAATGGTCTATTCTGTTGTGGTTGGCCAGAGTCAGCAAAATGTGGTGGCTGGCAATTCAGTTCACTTACAAATTCAGCAACGACAATATACTGAGCACTCCCCATTTAAAAACATTCTAACTGGCAATAGTACTGCTTACTATTTCACACATACCTTCTTCAAGAGTTGCAACAGCCTGTATGCGTAAAGGTTGAGTACTTGACTTACCATGATGAAATTCCGTAATGATCATATTAATAGAGGGCATCAACAATTATAGCATGCGAGAAGTCCACACAATAACCTTTAGAAACTGGACAGAAAATGAGATCCCAGTCAGGCAAAACCAAATAGAAGTCAGGACACGGAACAAAATGCAGCAGCTTCCCAAAAGCCGACGCCAAACACCAAATGAAGCATATAACCATATAGAAGTCGTGACATGAAACAAAACGATAATCAATTGAAATGCATGTGTTTTATTATCCAAATGAACAATTATCAGACCTACTGGTTTAAGAGAGGGTGTAGGTCAGGACAATGGATGTTGAAATAGATCTTGGTGGCACAGGATGCAGCAAAAAAATATTGACCTGACATTTAGTGAGAGAGAACAAAATTGAGTTCTAACAGCGTACGGTGCGACAATGCATTAAACGTGGTGAACAACCATCCACATAATGTTGTTAGAGTATTAAACCTAGACTAATTTTCAGAAACATCTGATAATTATAACTTGTATTACTATTTTAGATTCCAGATGTTTTCATACACTCCAATCATACTACAAATCAAGGGGTTCAAGGAAAATCATATATTCAGACAACAGATTCCTATTCACATGGCATGGAATTATATATAAATGCTAAATCCAACGAAAAAACTTGTATCGAAGTACTTGTAAAGGATGATAGAAAGAAATAGCTATCAAACAAAGAATAAGAGAATTCCATTACCAAACTGGATAATCATATAAAGTAACCTAATGATCAACAACACATTATTTCAGAAAATACCAAACTGATTCCGATGCCAAATTTAGTCCAATCTAAGTTCCCACACTAACCGAGTAAAAACAGGAGACAAACCAAAACACTTACCAGAATTGGTGACTATTTGCCCACTAGAATCGTGAACGGCAAAGACTGGTCCATGAGGAGGTAATCGCTTCTTATGATTTGGCTGATAGACCACGCAGCAGCAGTTTTCAACAGGCTCTAATTAAGCAAGGCCTGATAAAACAAAAATCTTTGGAAAATTGGTTCGCAGACCATGCAAGAATGAAGCAGCAGACGGAGCGGCACACCCAAATCCAGTTCCTCGAGAGAAGGCAAAACGTAAAAAAAAACCCCAGCCTTTTGGGTTCTCGTCTCTCTCTAGACCTCTTTGAATTGGATATGCATAGCTTTTTGGTTCAGAAATTTCCGCCGGAATTTAGTTCCTCGCGAGAAGTCAGAAGAACACATACGACCCTCTTCTCTATCGATTCTCTACCGTCTCTGAATGTGCTCCGCAACGCTGCGATGGTTGAGGAAAGTCAGCTTTGTTCAATCTTTTGGGCTAGGGAAATCACGTCAGGCCAGTGAAGCATAAGGGCAAGGCGGCCAGCTTTTTTCACTGTCAGCCAAAAATTAGGGGTGGGCAACTGGATGGGATTGGGTACCCGTCCCGTTTAAAATGGGTACCCAATCCCATTTGGAGAGTAAACTATATCCCATGTCCCAAACTCATACGGGCTAACGGGTACCCGCGGGTACTCATAATTAAAAAAATAAATCATCCAAACTTGTTTAGTGAATTAAGAAACAGAATACACCAAAATAATAATAAAATAAAAAAGCCTTCCTTCTATTCTACCTCTCTGCCGCATACACTAATCCAATCTTCCATTACATAAACAGTCAAAACAATTTCCTTTTCATACAAAACCAATCCCAAAATTTAACGGGAGTTACTAATTGACGCCCTAACTATTTAAATTTATCGCCCTAAATTTTAAAAATGGCCGCATTTGCCCCTAAGCCAAAGTTGTAACCTAAACCCCAAATGAACCACTGAATCCCGCCGCCGAATTTTCATGCTGCGGTGAATTCTACTACCCACCGCCGCTGCTACTCTGACATCATCATTGTCACCGAGCTACGGTCGTCGTTGTCGGACGAATGCACCAGGAAACCACCTCTGTCGTCCTCCCTAGAATTTCGTCCTTAGCAAAAAAAAAAAAAAAAAAGATCGGGAAGCTTGCCTGATTCTCTTCCATGCAGTGGCGGCCGACATCCGGCGGGAGCTCCCTCCCTCTCTGCATCTCCTTCGGCTTCCTTCTTTTCCCTTTATTTGACTTTTATTTATGAAAATGATTTGATGGAGATGCACACAAAGGGAAATGGAAATGCATTTGGGAAATGGACATGGTCGGCGGTGACAATTGAATCTGGAGAAGGGGATGGTGGTTGGTTGGGGTGGATTGGTCGGCGTCGGCTATAGAGGCCGTGGAAGGAGAGGGTGGATTTTGCGTCAAGTTGGGGGCAAGGGGCAAAAGGGTATATTTAGTAGGGCTTAGGGCGATAAATTTAAATATTTAGGGCGTCAAATAGAAGTTCAGAATTTAACAGGGGAAAAGAACATTAATTATTATGCTTGTCAGGTTATTAATTAGTGGAAAGCAGCCATCTAATCAGCAGATTAATTCTTTCCATTCTCACTAATGAACCAAAACTGTACTGCACACACTATTGCAGACGAAGTAGAGTAAAAAAAAAAAAAAAAGAAGTGACACAAACGGGTATTCCGGGTACCCGTATGACCCAAATGGATATTAACGGGTAACCTGTGGGTACCGGTTGTAGAAATTTTAGATCCAAAGTCTCATCCCGTAAAAAATATTACGGGTATTTGAGTACCCGTAACCCTTAAAAAACAGGACGGGTATGGATATACCCAAATATCCGTTTCCCATTGTCCACCCTACCAAAAATGCCGCCTACCAAATTTACCCTCCCGCAAAACCCTTTGAGTCTCGGAAATTTGAAATGGTGATTGGGTTTTTGGCTTTCAGCTATTATAACAGGTGTAGACAACAGATTCAGTTTTTTTTTATCCTCTAGTTTTTATTTATCTAATTGTTCATAACAGGTTTCAATAAAAGAAATAAAAATTGCGGCGATACAGACAGCAGCTGGAAGCCGTGATTGGCAGCTTGGATGTTGTTCCGAGGGCTGCTAGAGAGTAGGGATGGCAACAAAACCCGAACCCATGGGTACCCACCCGACCCAACCCGGTCAACGCGGGTAAAATCCGTGTTGACGGGTTTTGGGCCGGGTTTGGGTTTAAACCCGTTCACTATTCACCGGGTTGGGTTGGGTTTGGGTTTAGGTAAACCCGGCCCGTGGGTACCCGCCCATCCATATAATTAATTTTTTCGGTATATTTAATATTCTAAACAACTAATCTTATTTATATTTGTGGAGACATGTCTAATTTTTTCTTTTTAATTGTGTAGAATGAAGTTGATGTTATGGAGTGGAGAGTAAAGAAACTTAATTGAAAGAAAGAAGCTTTCAATTAAACATGTTATTTATGGATAATTTGTTTGTGATTTGCTTCAATTTTCTTGAGTTTTCTAGATTGGTGTTGAACAATTTGTATAGTTAATTTGTGATTTGCTTGAATTTTCTAGAATGGTGTTTTATATATGGATAATTTGTATTGAGAGATTGATATTTGACTTTAATTTTGATAAGAACTTGTAATTGTAAATGTTTTACGACAAAACCCGTGGGTACCCATGAACCCGCGGATACCCAACGGGTTGGGTTGGGTTTGAGTTTTTCAAACCCAGTGGGTTTTACCCCGGGTTTTTTTCAAAGATAAACCCATGGGTTTGGGTTTGGGTTTGGCCCAACCCGACCCAACCCGACCCATTGCCATCCCTACTAGAGAGTGCTGCTTACCAAAAGTCCAAAATATCCCCACTTCCGAGAAAGACGCGAAAGAAGAGGGAGCGACTGCAGACTGAACTGGGAATTGACAAAGACCAGCAGCTATAGCCCTGCCGTGTTAACGCATTCAATTCTGGGCGTAGCGTAAACCCTAAACCTCCAATCGCAGCAGTTACTTCGAAATATCATCCATCGAAACAAAGAAAGAAAAATCATCCCTGTTTGATCTAATCGTGCCGGAGTGACAGGCCGGCTTTTTTATTATTTGATCCACGTCCATGGCTTCTTCAGAGATCGAGGTCGTATCGCCGACGGAATCCACTGTCCTTAGACAGCAGGTGCAGAACGAGAGACAGCACGGTGCTCCGAACGGGACGGCGCCGGCATCAGCGTCGAACGTGGTGAATGTTCATTCCGCTTCGGCTTACGGAGATTTCGAGAAACTGCGCTTCTATGTCGAACAAGAGGGCGCCTCCGTCTCCATACCCGACGGCAACGGCTACTATCCTCTTCAGTGGGCTGCTCTCGGAAACTTCACTCACATTGCTCTGTTCATTATCGAGGTACCTTTCTGTCTGTTGCTGGATGCTTTATTTGATGATTTGATTGGAGCTAAGGGCTGGATTTTGTATTGTTGGTGAAGCATGGGGGTGATGTCAATGCTGCTGACAACTCACAGCAGACTGCTTTGCACTGGGCAGCAGTTAGGGGCTCGATTGCTGTAGCAGATTTGCTTATTCAAAGTGGAGCTCGGGTTGAGGCAGCTGATGTGAATGGTTACCGCGTAAGCACTTCGTCTTCTACTTAGACCATGCATGTACTTCTTAAGAACGTTTCCAGTGGCTATAGCAATATGTTAGCAAGTATGCTTCTTTAGAAGTTATTATGGTATTCAGTATTCACTTGTACTGGCAGTGGGAAAGCTATTGTGGTTAGTTGTGACCATGTCAGCGGGAGGTCAGGTTGCCAGCTCCGAATCGGTTTTATGTGTTCTAGTTAAACTAAGATATCTTGATCACTGAAGAATATACGTTATGTGTGCTTCAGATCAACATGTCTTTGTGAGAGTTAGCTTTGCTGGCTGGTTTTCGATAATGCCACTCTTCATGAGTAATAACATAAAACTAGTTTCTCAAGGAGCTTCATCTTCCCGTTAAATCTTACTTATGGTTATGATTCTTAATGTCTCACAATTCGCAAGGTCTGTATTTTGGAACTTTTGTCCTGTTTGGAGTTGTTGCATGTGATCGACAAGAACTTTTGTAGAGTCAGACAGCAAAAGCTTCAATTTCCTTGTTCAAGCTGTCTGTTACCTTTTCTTCTACCTGGACAGGTTAACGCTAGCCTCATCGTTTGTTGCTTGTATGTAAATTTGTCTGCTCAGGCAGTTCATGTTGCTGCTCAATATGGACAAACTGCTTTCCTAAATCACATTGTCGCGAAGTATCTGGCTGATTTTGATGCACCCGATAGCGATGGCAGGAGCCCTCTTCATTGGTATGTGAAATCATGGGTCTGGTTTGTTATCGGTTATACTTTTCAGGATATCATCTCTAAGGTGTTGGTCCTTTATCATTTGAGATAAAACAGCTCACTTTTCTTTGTGCTATTGTTGTTTGCTGGAGTTTAATTGTTAACCAATACACATTCCAGTAATATATGTCTTATTAGATTCTTTGGCGATTTCTTGTTATAGGATGATATGAACACTATATTTGTATGACAACTTTATGTATGCTTAAGGAAGAACACTCTAATACCTCTTTTTATTTTTATTTTTTGAGAAGGGCTGCATACAAGGGCTATGTAGACACAATCAGATTACTTCTCTTTCGAGAAGCTAGCCAAGGAAGACAAGATAAAGAAGGTGCGGTCAGAAGTCAGCATTTCATGAATTTGAATTCCTTAATATCAATCTATTACCTTTCTACTGCGGGTCAAATCTACCTTTACTCGGAGATAATGGTATTTGTGGAGCCGACTTAAAAATCCTGATCACAGCGTCCTGTTCTAATGCTTTCAGGCTGCACCCCTTTACATTGGGCTGCACTAACAGGGCATGCAGAGGCATCTTCTGTACTTGTGCATGCCGGCACAAAGAAAGAGCTAGCTGTGAAAGATAAGGCCGGATTTACTCCTGCCGAGCTTGCATCTGACAAGGGTCATCGGCAAGTTGCCCATTTCCTTGTATGTAATTTGTATAATTCTTCTTCTCTCAATATATGCAGAAGATTAAGTCGGAAAAATCAGTGGTACTTCACACTGAGCACACGTTAGGATCTAAGTTCTGAGATATCGGGTTGAGTTGTTAGATGCAATTTGCCGAGAATGTTAGTCTTATGTTGAAGTGTGTCGGCTATCCTCTTCGGCATTCTCTTGGCATTATTCTTGTTCCTTCAAAATTTCGAGCGACAAAGTATGCTTGCAATTTAACCTTTAAGTTTCATTAGCTTCCTAGGAATTTAACCCAGACATATTGCAAATAGCTGTTTTGTTAGGAGCTGGATCCATGCTCCTTACTTAGCATCACCTTATGCTAGGGTTCTTCTCATGACCTCTCTTCCTTGCTAGTGACTTGAGGGAATTTTTTTTGTCTTCTTGACCAGGAGAACATGCAATTATAGGGCGACGACACATGTAGAAAAAATATATAAAGAGGTAAAAATAGAAGCACTGCTAGCTTTAGTCTGTTATATTATGCAAGATCATGGATGCAGGAGTTTCACTGTGGCTTTGTTTCTACCTCTCAGTTGGATGACTAGTTCTTAGTGTGTCATTGCATCAGGACTCACCTTTTATTTGCAATGATTATGCAGACACTAACAGTGGTTTGATTTGGTGCAGTCTAATGCACTGCTGACACAAAGCAATAGTTTGGGAAAGAAATTGTGTGGTCGGAAGATGAGGGACATTGGATTTGCTCCATTGTTGTTGTCCATGATCCTCACTTGTGTCTTTCTTTTCGTTAATTCGGTCATTGCAGGTATATAATATCTTTGCTTTGGAATTTTGCCTCCTCGGGAGATATATTCCTTTGTTAATCCTGATCACCTCCTTACTCTATTGCTAGCTCCAAGTTTCCCAAAGATAACAGCTGCTATTGGGATTTGGGCAATGATTGCACTCTCTCTAGCTGTTCTGGCACTGATCATGTTTCGCCGCTGTAGTAGGTAAATCTGGATTCGGGACTTTCAACCAAGTGTGGGTTTTACTTAGCTGCATTTCTCCCCCTTCCTTTGTGTTACAAGTTAAGAGTAACAGTAGGGCTCCTTTAGTTGACTGTCCTAAGGGATTTCATGGCCAGGTTTGCAGGTGATCTTAATAGCAATCATATTCTTTTGGTAAATCATGTCACGAAATTGTGACAATACCATTGTTGAAAACCAAAGCATTTCCAGTTGGAAATTGCTAATCCTACAGCATCCTTCTAAGTCTGACTTGGTTCTGTATAGAAATTTCGATATTGTCCTGTCGTGTGTACTTATGTTTTGGGAAATCATGGAAATTACTGACTTTATTATTGACTTGTATATTCCTGCAGCAAAGATCCTGGTTATATCAAAAGACAGGAGGATTTGGATAAACATGCTAATACAGAGGTAATCTACTCTAGTGAATGGTCTTTTGATGGATAAACCTATCTATGGATTTATGATCTGCATTTTGCTTTTCCTCTTTTCTTGCTGTTAAGAATTTACCTAGTATACCCAGTGTATGCTTTGGGGAGTTAATAATCAATATTGTTATTGTACTCAATTATATGGGTGGACATACTAGGCACTAAACTCTGTTTAATATAGTTGGTTGAAGGACTAAATTCGGTTAGCTCAGCTTAGGCACGAGATATACGTAGAATATTTGGTCAAGTTAACTTTCAACTTCTATTTATTGACAATTTGTCTAACCCGACTCCATATCAGTCTTTTTTTGGCAAAACTGTCAAAAAGATATTTTCTCCTTAATCTAGACTTTGATACCAATTTTTGTCACTATTCTCCTAATCAAGAAATACTCATCTCTTATGAAGAAGAAAAATTGCAAGCTTGTCGAATTTTATCGGACCTCTCAAATTCGAAAGCGAATAGAGAAGTAACAGCAAATTCAAGTGTACTCTCAAATGACGTCTTCAAATTATGAAATCATTTTCTCTGACTTCTAGTTTTATATCTCTCTTTCGCTAACTTCTAGCTTTTGGTTGACTAAATTTTGGACTTCACTTCCTACTCTTTTTTTTCCCGGTACTTCGACATTTTATTGGGTGATATGAAAAATTTTTAGCAAAGCATGGACTTCGGTATCTAACTGGACAAGACTAGTCAAATTTGACTTGAGTTGAGATTAGAGTTCTATTACGCTTCTTTGTTTTCTATAGTGCTTTGGAGAAGAATGACCAGTTTAAAACATTTTTTCATTGATACAGTTTAAAACTTCTGAGAACCAAAAGATAATGAAAAGTAAGAAATTTTTTTTTGGACCTTTCCATTTTTTAAGAAAAAATGGGCGAAGTGCCTAACGTGCCCCAAATAACAAATCATCTAGTTCAGTTCTTTAGAGTTTAGACTATCTCAAATACAAAGGGACAAAATTAGCCCTCTTGGGAACTAAATGTCAACTTTTACATCTTGAAATCAAGTTTGTACTCGAAACCATAACCTCTAAAATTTATCTTTTTAGGTTTGTTATTTTATTTTGTATCTTTAATATAACCCGTATCTATATGCATGTTAATTTATGTTTTTCACTTTCTTTTTATAGTTAATCATTATTTTTGAAAACAAAGTTTACGATGTAATTTTTTTTTATTCGGACGTAAATTGTTTTCTTCAAAGAAATAACCGTTAGTTACTTTTTAAACATTTTTGTGATTGTTAATTTATGACCGTAGCTTGTTATTAAGAGAAAAAACCTATCTATTTATGATTAATTTGATTAGTATCCCTTTCATCTATTTTAATGAGAGAAACATTCAAACACACCTCAAACAGACAAAAGGAAAAAAAGGTCTGAAGTGAGCACCACTGGGGGATGTTGTGCGCTCGTATGGCTCCACTACTCCTTCCCACAATAAACAGAGATGCTTCCCATCAAAAAGAAAAAAGAACAGACCTGCACACACCACTTTCCCCTGTCAAATTTGCCTTCCCGCTCTTATTTCCTCCCAAATTTAGCTCCCAAAGACTCCCAACTCTAAATTTAGCTCCCGAGTTTGAATGGGTTGTTGCTCGTAAAAGGCCAAACATGCATTTTTTAGAGCTGGATTGGAGATGCTAAAAATGAGTTTGGTACTTAAATGTATCGCAACTCCTCGAGTTCATTGACCTTGCTTGGTTTTCACTTATAAGTTAGTTTTCTTTATTGTAGTACTTTAGTTTACGAAGCTGTATCCTGAAGTTCCCTCGTCGTCTATTACCTGTTCATTGTCGCGCACATTCATCGCTATATCAATTTTCTGGCGCCACTATTATTGGTCCTCTATGATATGCTTTTTACTTTTGTATCCCTTTTCAGGATCCACTCTTAAATTTTGATTTCAACAACTCTTCTGTATGGATTGGAGACTGGTCTCAGCTTTGTCCAACATGCAAGGTCTGATAGATGAGCAAGTTTAAAGTAGAAAGTGAAAAACTTTCTATCCTATCGTAATTAGTTCCCGTACTTAAAAATAATGATGCTACCTGGCTGAGTTCTATTTTTTTTTTTTTTATGTACTCTTCCATTCAGATAATTAGACCTGTTCGATCCAAGCACTGTTCCACATGTAACCGCTGCGTGGAACAATTTGACCATCACTGCCCGTGGATATCTAATTGTGTGGGCAAGGTCTGAGTCTTGGCATCCTATTGTCTGTTCAATAGTATGTTATGAAACATTGTAGCTTATTCTCTGTCTTATCGGCCCTTGTCATTTTCTGATGATATCTTTGCTTCTCTCTTACAGAGAAACAAACGAGATTTCTTCATTTTCGTAGTCTTAGGGTTCTTGACGTCATTAGTCGGTGGTGCTGTTACACTTTACAGTAAGTTGCTCTTGCTTCCTTATACTTATCTATGTTTTTATTCACCTCAAGTTCTCTTCGGTTCTGTGAAACTTCAGCCATATCACCCCTTATCTCTCTTTCGCCAATGCCAACAGGAGTCTGGACTGCGCTGCAATTTTTTCATGTAGATGCAAACTGGCTTCGGTTTCTGGTGTTCCAACATCCTGGGATTATTGCATTTATGGTTTTAGACAGCTTTATTCTGCTTGCTGCTCTGACTTTAACCATAGCACAGGCGTTGCAGGTAATTAGTTTGTCGGAACCAGTTGTCCATGTTCGCGATGCTGAGTAAGTTGGCCTCAAGTATTAATGTTTGTATGGCTCTTTTGTTTATACAGATAGCACGAAACATTACCACGAATGAAATAGCAAATGCCAAGCGTTACGGGTATCTGCGAGGACCAGATGGGAAGTTTCAGAATCCATACAGTCATGGCTGCAGAAAGAACTGTGTCGATTTCTTCATCCATGGATATTTGGACGATAACCATGTTGCTTGGCCTCCATTGGAGCAGATTGCCACTGTGAACCACTAACAAAGGCAAATGAGAGTGACCCCCGTTCTGCAGACCCAAAGTCCCAAACACGGATTGTATTCGTGGAGCTGTAAATTTCACTCGAGGAAAGCTACGTGTATAGGTACAGTTCAATTGTTTGCGTATCTATTTCATTTATGTACTGGAAATATATACCAAATAAGGACTGTACTCGTACTTGTGTTCATGTGACCATTCCGATAATATGTGATATTTATGCTATAGTTTTTTTGTGGCATGATTTTCTTACCAAACTCGTATTCCCGTTTCAGAAGATATTGAAGTATTCCTGAATCCGGATACAATCCCTTGTATCTTATTGATTTTGTATTCCTTTCTTTTAGCACTAGCTTGGACCAGGCCGGGAAATTGAGATTGGTTTCAATTGAGATTTTTATTGGATATTAATAATTGAGTTTTATATCCATCACATAATTTGTATTGTGAGAATTCTCTAATGCTTAACCTAATACAAGATGTTATTTGAGACAAGTAGATTAGAAGTTTGAGACTAAAAAAGTGTGAAGCTTTAGTGTGAAGCTTAACTCTTCGTTAAACGCTTGGACCTGCACGAAGGGAATGTGCTCAGAAAGCTTTAGTGTGAAGCTTAACTCTTCGTTAAACGCTTGGACCTGCACGAAGGTAGATAGTCGAAGGTTCTATGATCCTTTATGGTCAAGTTAGTTAGAAAACGTTCTCTATTGCTATAACATATAACCGGGTGTTGAACCAGTAGTTGAACCGGAAAAGTTAGTGGTTTATGGTTCAACGGTTAATTGTTGAACAACCAATGGCTAATCGTTGATAGCTAGTAAGTTATCACTAATTGTTGGGGGCATGGATCGGGCCCAGTTGCGCTAGTAACCTCGCAAAAGATAAGACAAGGCGCGCTCAGGGCCTCATGCTGCTATTAGTAACCACGAACACTCAAGCAGAACTCGCGAATACACGCCTCGTGCGAGGAGTATCATCCGTGCGAGAAGTGCCATCAGAGGAACGCGACACGCGAGACGACATGAAACGTTGCCCGCGCAGCGATACGATCCGCGAGCAAGAAACTCAAAACGACATTGTTCCACTGACAAACTGTCATGTGTGGCTCATAGGCCTCATCATTGCCTAGCCCCCTGTCTATTATAAATGTCATGTCACCCACCCACTATAAGGTAACCTATAAATACAACATTTATTCCGGTGGGTAAAAGGACCTTTTTGGACTCTCTCTAGAAAAAGGAAGAAACTTCTCTCTCTAAGAACTCTCCCTCCTATTTTGTTTTCTTGGTCGTCCAACTTGTAACTTTCTAAAATCCTAAGTATAAAGGAGGGTCATTCTCTATCTTATTCGCGTCCATAAACCACGTGTCTCACTCCTACACTCAGATAGGTACAAACAATTGGCGCCCACCGTGGGGCCGCGAGTAGAAAGAGCATAAGCCAAGACTAAAGGACAAACTTCAAGCACCCTGGACGAGGCGACGGTAGTCAAAGAAATGACAAATCTAAAACAGTTCGCGGAAATCAGCAACCTGAATGCGGTACTCATAGAGGAAGAAGAGCCGAAACTGACAGCCAAGAAAGTACATCAACAAATGGCCAAGCAGAATGAGGTCATAGCAGACATGCAGAACAAGATGAACCAAGTCACCGCGCTCATGATGAACAAAGCGGTGGTGCAACCAGCGGTGATCGTCCCGCCAATACCGGAAGGAATACAACTCGTCTCCGAACCGCGTGAATAATGAGCAGAGCCGCCTGCTAGCCGCGTGAACATTTTATGATTATTATTATTGTCGGTTTACTATTCGGATTATTATGTTGGTCCATTGTTGGGGAGGGAGTATTATGATTAGGTTATTATTTTTGGAAGTAAAGGGGATAATTGTCGATTAGTATAAGTATCGGTGTAAGTCAGGTTTATGGTTAAGCCTAATAAGCAATGTTGTCAGAACCGAACCGGAGCATGACCCGGTAATGTGAACGGCTCGCACTTTAGTGGTCCAACTGGCAATAGACCTTTTAAAAACCGTTAGAGAACCGGTACCTAATAAACGTTATCAGTATATATAAATAGTGGACATTTCTTAATCAAAGCTCATATCTTTCCTTCGAAATTGCGAAATGGAAATAATGATTCAGTTTGAGAGCCCGACGTTTTTTTATTTATTTCAATTTTCAATTTTCTGCAATTTTTTAATTAAATTTAACAGCTGAATGGCAAAAACCGGACGAGCGGCTCGATCGGTTAACCGCCTCAGCCGCTTGCCAACCGCTATATAAAACCTGAGCGGCTTTTAGACTGTTCCGAGCCGGTTTTGTGACCGGGTGGCGGTTTTACCGGTCGGGCCAAGCGGCTCGGCTTTAATAACAATGCTAATAAGAATATCAAAACCCTAATCCTCTCTCTGTCATCCCTCTCCCTAGCCGAGCTCTCTCTCTCTCTCTCTCCCAACAGTCTTCAGCCGAACCCCCTTACACTCTCTACCCACTTGTTTCTCAACTCTAAATCCCTAGATCAATCCCTAATTTATATAATCTCATTCCCAATTCCACCCTAGATCCTGTGGTCTATCAACTTGATCTAACCTCATTCTCAATAAATGCACCCTAGATCCTGAGGTCTATCAACTTGGTATTAGAGCCACAGTTGGGTGCAAATGACAACCGAACATGACTACCACGCAAGCATAGGAAGAGAAAAATAGTGGCGACAAGGTCACTACGTGGAACGTAGTGCAGAAGCCAGGAGACAAGGCACCAATGACAACGGCGGAGAAGGCAGCCAAGACGGCGCAAGGCAAAGAGAAGCAGCCGCGAGAAGGAGACTGCGTTGAGGAGCCTGACTGGGCCGAGGTTCGGGAGGAGATGTTCATGGTCTCCAGGATGCAAGGAAACCTCGAGGACGGGCTGAAAGAGGTCAACCGTTCCATTCGACAGGTTGCAGAGAGTGCAAGGTTAGCTGCTGAAAAGGCTAACTCCGACGCTGATCGGATGGTGATGCTGCTTGAAAAGGTGCTGGTGCAACAGTCTGGGGGGTTATCTCTGGACAGGATTGCGGATGCAGGCCGGGAGGTGGGGCTACCGACCGAACCCGGACCAAAGGAGGGCGGGACTGAGGCAGTCCCAGGCGTGGCCTTGCAAAAGGCTGCGCAGGGGAGGACTCGGCCACCGAGACTAGAGGCCCGATGGGGGCGGCGGAGGGAGCTCGAGTCGTATAGGCTCCGCGGGGGCTAGGGCAGGCGATGGTCTTTTACCGATTCCCTCAGAACAGGAACTCGCAGTCCGAAAAGCCAAGCCGCAGATGGCAGGGTACGACAACGTCACGCACAATGTGATGTTCGAGCAACCAGAGCAGCGATATGAGGAGAATGAAGAAGGAAGCTTATGGGGGCAAGGCAAGTCGAGTGCCTGGGCGGATCGTCGAACAGCCCCGCATCGGTCGAACCAACCCGAGCGTGTCAATGTCGAAGGCGCAGGGTTCTACTCGGCCGCGAACCGAGCATAAGCAAGGCTGGATAGCGGCCAAGGAGGAAGCGGATGAGACGATTGGAGTATTGAACGAGAGGAAGTGAGAGGCGGTTACTCCTCGTATGGGGCAGCCCGAGGAGAGGAGAGGAGCTCCGCTAAGCATTCAAAGTGCGGACAAGGAAGTAGATCGGGCTATCGAGGAGGAGGAAGAGAGAAGACTGATCGGGAGGAGTATGGCGGCACCTGGGCACAGGAGCGCGGACATACTAGCCAACAAGGACAACTACGAGCGATGACCCTGGTATTGCCAGGTATAGATGTTATGGCTCGAACTATGAGGGTGATGGTGATCTAGTGTTTCGAGCTAAACCTCTAACCACCGAATTTCCAAAATTTAATGGCTAGGAGGATGCTGGGTTATGATTGTATGCAACTGACAGGTGGTTCAAGAACCTGACGTGCGCGAGGAGAGGAAAGCCAATCTGGTGTCCTTCTACTTAGAAGGCGATGCACTACAGTGGTGGGAGTGGCTGGAGAGGACACCAGTGCGCAAAGCCGGATATGATGATGCTCTTGGGGCGTTGGGTGGATGAAGCGGATGAGGAAGATGGCATAGATATGAAGGTGGATCAAGACGAGAAGGATCAACCTTGAGGGAAAGGTTGTGCTTCAAGGGGAAAGGGATAATGAGCACATTTTATGATTATTATTATTGTCGGTTTATTGACGGTTTACTATTTGGATATTATGTTGGTCCGTTGTTGGGGAGGGATTATTATGATTAGGTTATTATTTTGGAGAGTAAAGGGGATAATTGTCGATTAGTATAAGTATCGGTGTAAGTCATGTTTATGGTTAAGCCTAATAAGAATATCAAAACCCTAAGGGTTAATACCTTATTCTCGCCTGAACTATGACCATATAATCAACTTTGGCCCGTGGTTTCAGTAACTAACACTAGGCCTCAACTATGTACCATATAGACTCAATTGGCCCGACTCGTGAATTTCCGTCAAATTAGACGGTCAACATTATTGACCGTTAGTGAATTAGCATGCTACGCTGACGTGGATGCCATGTGGAAAATAAAAATTAATAAATTAATAAAATAAAAATTCTCATTCTCTCTCCTCACTCGGTCCACATAGTCCCTTCCCTTTCCCAATCCTTCTTCCCCAACCCTCTCTCTAACATACCCAACTGTTTAAGAAATTCCCGATGGGGCAGAGAGTCGATCGAAGGGAGGTGTAGAGCCTAAGGCTAATTAATCAATTTTCTTAACAATGGAGCTAGACTTAGGCTTCCTTTCGCCTCGTCAAGCTATCAAGCACAGACCTGAAATTGACCATTTGACCGGAAGCGATTTCGATAGTGGAGCTGACAAAGAAAACGCTGCTGGGAATGAAAGTAATAACATTATTGAGGCTCCCTTTCTCCACATCGATCACCTGCAGAACATCCCCTGCTTTTGTCTCGACCCACGCCACCGTAAAAAACTACTTTCCCTGCCTCATTCTTCGAGCCCGATTTTGCCACCATCGACACCTTCCCTTTCTTCTTCTTCTTCTCCCTGCTCTATCGCGCCATATCCATCGTCGACAAAGGGGATGGGTTGGGGTTCCGGCGAGCGACCAAAGCCGAGCCCTCCACGACACAAATTGTAGGATAAAAGTAAAACCCCTTGCTTGACCTTCGATTAGGGTTGAGGGATCTAGGTTTACTAGATCTGGGGTTTTGGGCTGAACAATCAATTTCATCATCAGGGTCCTCGGCGACGGTGGCAAGTGTTAT